ACTACGTTCTCTTAAAGCATTCTGGTGTCACTTGCTCACAGGCAAGTATTCATTTGCAGTGGTGTCATCTAGTGGTCCAATTCAACGAAAAAAGGTATTGTGATATTCCTTTTTTTATATCTGCCACATTTGGTATGATTTCTTCTTTCTTATACACTACCTTTAAGCAACCTATTTCAGTCAGTGAATGGTTGACTTTTTACTTAATTTCCATACTAATTGATGGGCAATAAGCTCCATGGGGGAAGGGAAGGCATGGTCACATAGGCTATTTTTAAGGGCGGGGGAGGGGGAGCTGAAGACCTAGTAGAGTTGTCCAACCTAAAACCTCAGATCTCTTCACTGCTCGAGTCAGACTGCGAGCTTATAGATTAATTAACTACTTATCGTACTGCTCACTTGTATAGGAGGTTTAGGCTGGATATTAGAAAAAATTTCTTCACTGAAAGAGTGATCAGGCATTGGAACAGGCTGCCCAGGGAAGTGGTGGAGTCACCATCCCTGGAGGTGTTCAAGAAACGTGTAGATGTGGTGCTTAGGGACATGGTTTAGTGAGTTAGGTGATGTAGGCTGACTGTTGGACATGATGATCCTTGAGGTCTTTTCCAACCTTAATGATTCCATGATTCTATATCCTAATAAAGACAGCCATTATTTCTCGTGATAGCACCCAGAACACTGACGATAAATCACAACTGGTTGTTTACACATGCTTTATATGTAGTTTTTTCTCCAACAAATTAAAAAAAAAAGGGCACACTGCTGACCTCAAGCAGAAAAGAACAGGTCCTATAGCTGAGTGAGTTAGACTGTTGAAGGTTTTATTTGACGTGTCTGAGGCATTCACTGAGGTTATTTTAGGTAGGCTTTCCTCACCATGTAGGTCTCAACTTTTAGGTAACTGACTTTAGATGCCAAGATGTTGAAAATCAATTTCACAAGTTTTAAGTACCAATAATACAACACAGTACTAAGACAGGAACAAATGGACAGGTTACTGCAAGAGATGCCATTCCTTGTGGAAAAACAAAAGGCCATCTAAAACATTATGGGTCTTAAACTTTCTGTTCTGAAGCTGAAACATAGGAAGCAATTCCAGTGAAGTGGTCAACATTTTTCCTCTACTTAAATAAAGTGTGAGCTAAAACATTAGCTGCTTATTTTACATCTTAACTGATCGTGGCTAACATGAAATATTGCTCTAATCTTCCCCTCCCCAACAAAATCTCAGATAATTTCCATGCTTTTTTCAATAAATTACTTGCCATAAACAGCAATTTGACATTCTAAATAACAGTACTTACAGTGTCAGCTGTTTTCAATTCCTTGGCAACTCAGACAAATTTAATTCGAGATTAACATATATGATGTTTCTGACGTTTCAAATAATAACTTTGTCTTTTATGAAGGCAGTACTAGGAAAACCTTGTTACACAAATCCTACAGTTCTTAACTGGGAATCCAAGCACCTCATGTTTTAAAGCATAGCACAGCTGCCACTCCGGAGAAAAGCCAGCCTTAGTTTGGCCAGAAAAGCTGGACACATACAAACCAAAAAAAGCTGGCCATTTTTTAATCAATACATCATCTGAAAGAGTTAAAGAGCAAGCAGAATTATCTCCTTGTTGCTTCCACTAGACTACCAAATTGCATGCATCATTTTCAGACACTGACTGAAAAAGCCACTTCATAGGACTGGGGGCTTTCTCTGCCATTTCCTTCTGGTTGGTAAAGGCTGTTAAGATACCAGAGATACCAAAACAAAACAACTGAAGTTTCTCCCACCAGGCCTCAGCAACAAGGCAGAAGCAGCAAAATTCAAAACTGAGCAGAACAACAAAAGGCTAAAAACGAGAAGAGCCTGGTAAGACCAGAAAAAGCAATGGGGCATCAGATTCTACAACAACCGGAACACACAGGTTGGAACACACAGGTTGGATATAAGAACCATCGGTCTTAAAAAAAAAAATCTTCCTTCTGCCAAGCCTCTGCAAAAAGCATTTGTCCTCTTACTCTTTCTAGATCACCTGTCCATTGCTTACTGTACTATAGACGACTTCATATGCTCAAGATAGAAACATTTACATTAAGACAAAATACTAAACTTTCTAGTGTTTGGGTTCCCTCCCATTTACTTCGTTCAAAATCTAGAAAGCTGCATCAAAGCAATCTATCCTACAAGAATATTACATGTGCAAAGTTAAGAGTTATAAAATATCAATACTTAAATTGCTTGAGCAACCCCTGGTCATACATGCATTATGTTGTAGGCTGCACATTAAATAATCCATGGAACTCACATAACAAACTATCCTACTGACATCATGCATGCAAAAAACTTCATATGTAAATACAGTGGAACAGTTTACAACACCATAACACAACTGGGTTTTCACAATCTGACAACTTTTCTCAATTTCATAGGATGCTATTACACTATAGGCAGACTGTGAACGTTTTTGCTAGGCTAGAAAAGATCACAAAACTATAGCTGCACATGACAAACACATGCAAATCACTCTGTTGAACAGCTGTGTTATATACAAGTAACATGAGTTGGTATACTTAATCTCCACTGTAGTACTTCAAAATATAGGTTGAAGTCAACTGCTAATTGAGCAGAAGAACAACTATGCCTCACCTCCTCCCACTTGGCATTCTTTAATTATGTATCTCTAAGCATAAGAATCCCTCTGCATTACTGTGCACTGTTTCCTGGATTTAGTATTAAAGGTCTGTCGTAGCTCTCTGCTATACATTTGTTTGGAATATCAGTGGCATACAATCAGCTAAAGCAATTTTTTCACGCTTCATTTCACCAGACAAATATATACTTACGTAATTTAAAACATACTATCTCTAGCAGGTTAATTTTAAATGGAAATAAAATTTAACTGAATCTTTGGTATTTTGAATTCTATCTAGCCCATCCCAAAGGCTTAAGGAATTTAGCTTATATTCTATTAATATCTTGATCTGTGAAAGTGGAACATAAACACAAAATTGATATGTATCTTAACACAACTTTCAATAACCAAAAAGATTGATTAAAGTCTAGTAAAAAAAAAAATCTTCATGAGATGGAATCATAGCACAACTGTATCTGTACAGAATTCAGCTTACATGGTAAATAGAAACCATTTCGTTAGGGCAAACTTAAAAACTGATCTATGATAGACTAAAAAGAACAGTGAAAGGGATTCTGAATTTCAAAAGACAAAGAAACAAGACAGAATTGTATTTATCACACATAAGGCTACTTTTCATTTAAGCTTTGAAAAGCTAAGAGGGACATGCATAAATATTTTAGCCAAGAATTTAGAAAAGTAACAGAGACACAGGAGGGTTGCTCTTGGGGAAAAGTTTGTCCTTCTAAAGCATTCTTTTTGATATTTGTTTGGAAACTGACAGTACCTTCTAAGACTGAAAACAATAGCATTTCATTGAGAAAATGAAAAGCAACACCTGAACTACACTGACAGTTCATAATATTCAGGTTTCTAGTTTTAAAAAAATAAAAAACTTATTCTGTAAGCAAAATTACTGTATTACTAGTGGTAACCTGAGTGTAGTCATTAGACAAGTATAAAGATGAGAAAGCTAGAAACAAACTTTGGATATACGTTTTCTGTACAGAAAGCAGCAACTCTATTGAAGTTGTTCTTGTCCTGGCTTTGCAGACTGAGACTTCACCGGTCGAAAGAAACAGAGCAGGAAAGGGATGGAAAGCTTTTCTGGTAAGTGCTGACCTTATGTACATACCCACACAAATTTCCTTACAACTTATCTCCTGCAGCACATCAACAGATTTTCTTCCTGGTGTACAAAATTTGTCTTAAATAAGATCTGTATCAGCACTAAAAAACTCATGCAGAATAATAATCATGTTCTCCAATGACCATTTTGAACCAGCACACTCCTGTCACCCAATATACACCAAGATGACATGCCAAGACCTTAGGCTACGCACAGAAGCCCTGTCTACTCTGTGGTGAGAGCTGGCATCTTCCTCCTGAAAAAAGCAAAACAACACAACCCCACAAGACAACAACAAAAAAACAGCAACAGCTGATCACACAAAGGCTTTAGCACACATTCTGCAGGTATTTCCAAGTTGAACATGTTCAAGTCTTTCCCACTTTAAAACTCGGTTAGGTAAAACTGCAAACTCATTTAGACAAAACATGAGCCCTTTCTAGTCCTCTCCCAGAAGCCGCTTTAAAGAAAGATTCAAGCTAGCTATGTGTTGTAGGACAACTTATTTATACTACAGAACATATGTACCAACGATACGAGAAAGAAAGCATCTGAAGCTCAAAATTCTCCCAAGTTTTTAACCAGTCTAAGAGAACAATAAAAGTGCTTGCAATGTGTATAAGAGTAAGCGTAACACTAACTCTGAGTGGGGAAAAACCTCATCACACTAACTCCCAGATAATCACATATTACAAACATTTTATGATTAATTCTCAACTTCTCCAAGAATGCAGTCACAATTTTCATTGCTGCCTAAAAAAGCAAAAATTCAACTTTCATCAATTCTTTAAGCTTTCAATAGTTCAGCCATTCTGAGTACACAAAACACCATGTGATAAATTACATTCTGGGTGATTCATCAAAACTTTCATATGATTTTTAATGCATAGCTTCCCCTAGTTTCTCATTAAATCTCATTCTACAAACAATCCACATTCCTCACACCAGGGGACTGACGTGCCTTTGCAAATTCACCATGTGGACCAAGTAACTGCAATGTCAAGACTTGGGAGAGCTGTCCTGCCTCCACAGCAGCTTCTAAGCTAAGGAAAGAGATATCAAGCCCAGCGATACAATCCTACTATTAAAGAATAAAGTCAGAAGAAACAGTAACAGTATCACTAGCTTACTTCAGGTGTGTTTGACACAGTTTGTTATCCTGATTTTTGGTTTACAAAAAGCTCACACAAAAACCACCCACACCAAACAACAAGAAATATGTATTTGTTTTTAGATCTACTTACCTTGCACCATTATTTCTAACTACTTCCACTGTTTCACCAACAAAATACCGATCCTTGACATAAGCATAGATTTCATCACAGATCTCATGAAGTCGGGAGCGATGGGTAAGGGTGGCCAAGTAGAGAATTGGAATGATGAGTGCCTCTGGAAAACTCTGAAGATTAAGTCTGGCTTTCTTCTCTGATTCCACTGCTTCCTGATATGTGAGTCCTGGTTTACCTGTGATAGCACAGCTCCACACAAGGCTGTTGCACAGAATGGTGCGTTCAAAAAAATCACTGAAAAGAAAGGGGGGGGGAAGGTGTGGAAGAGAGAAAGAAAACGGTTGAGTTCTGACTGTTTTCAATTTGCTCATAATTAATACAGCAGCAAATTTGTTTTACGAGTCTGAAATGCAAAGGCAGCTCTACTCCTGTACAGGCTGTAGATAATCAAGGGTTACTTACTACTTTTTATCCATGGCATGGTAAATCACTACTGTAAAAGCAAAGTCTTCTCTCACTACAGTAACAGCATCAAAAGCTAGAAGTGCTGCAAACAAATATTCACATATAAGAAGCCTTATGCATAAGAATAATCCCACTGAGTTTAACAGGTGCTATATCCTCCCCACATTTCCACAAATATCTGCAAGAGAAGGGTCTAAAACTGTACAAACATTAAATAACCTTAAGATCCCAGAAACATGTTGAAACTTAAGTTTCAGATTTTGAGTGCCCTAGCTCACAAATGAAAAGATGGGAGAGGTAAAAAATTAATGTCAAGTAGTTCTCTAAATATTTTTTATTCCTTCACTGTTTGCATTGCTCTTAGAAAAAGCATTAAAAGTATTTTTTCCTGCAGATTCTTCTCCTCCCTTGTTCCATTAGCAAATATTGATTCTCCTCCTTCTCTGTACTCCCAATTAATGCTAAAATGACACTGTTGTTATTGCTTGCTTACTAGTTATTATACTGGAATCAAGAAAGAAGAGCTTTCATAGTCAATAGCTGTCAATTTTTGACAGGTATCATAAAAACATTAGTTTGTTAAAACACTTTCTAGATGAAGTAGATGATGTAGCTATTCACAAAACCATGTTGAAACATATCACATAGTACGGACCAGTGATCGGACAGCAGAGCAATCTTTCAACATACCCCAGTTCAGACAATCGTTTTTATTTGTCTTCCTTTAAAAATCTTAACAGACTAGTATTGATAAGCATGCAACAGACAACATGACAAATTGAGTTTTGTTTTGCCTTGTATCAGTTCAACACAGCTATTTCAAGGCAGAGACACAGTACTTCCAGAACACTACATGCTACACAAGATACCTATACTGAAGATTCACTCATTAAAAAAAAAATTACCCTGCGCAGTGTTCCCATTTTAAAAATGATAGAATTGTACAAATCATTTCTAGTAATGGGGTTAGAGAACTGGACAGTTCACACTTCGAGTTCTTTCCTGCATGCTCCCTGCAAACTCAAGCTGGCAAACATGCATCAGTTAGACTGATGCAGATGATGATGATGTTCACTGCAGATGGACAGATGAACCATAATATTTTGTAAATGAAAATGGAAATTAAAGATTGAGGACAATGGAGGGTCCTGGCTCAGATAATCCTTTCTGTATAAACACAGTATTCCTCTGACTTAGAGAAAGATTCTTTAGCAAGAATATCAGCTGTGAGAAGGGGAAAAGGGCAGAAGAGGAAGAAACATATTATCTGAATAACATTTAATAGCTACAAAATTTCAGATTTTTATATCACCTATTTAATATATTTGATAGTACATAGTCTTAACACTCATAAGAAGGAATAATTTAGGTTTGCTTACTTTAAACAAGAAAAGAAGAACAAAGGAGAGAGAATGAGAGAAATTACTCTTCAATACATGAAGAATGGATGGCTGTCAGTCATTCCTTATGCACAGGACAGAATATTCTTTTGTTGCTGTCAACCATGGTGAATCAATCGCTAAGGTATAGAATAGTTACTTAAACATCTTAAAGAACAGGTTAGACAAAAATCTGATTTTGTTGGGGTTTTTTTAACGTGATGGAATACATAAAACATGATCTCTTCAGGTCTCTTCCTGCCCTACATTTCAATACTTTTGTATTAGATTCACAGTAATTTTTAGTAGTCTTATTGACTTCAATGGATAAAGAAACATTTATTCAAATCTTCATGTAGCTGTGTATTCCTACATATATTTTGGTGTCTCACTTACCAAAGAGGTTCTAGATAATTATCTTTAGCCAGGAAAGCCAAAACTACCCTAAGAGTTACTGAAAAATGTACCAGAATATTTTTTCAAAAATTGTAAAAGGGGAAAAAATAGAGGGGGGGGAGGGGGAGAGAGAGCAGAGAGGGAGAGACTGGGGTTGACGCTGACAGTGTCCCTTTAAGAGCTGCTGTTATTCTTTGTGAGGGGACACCGGGCAGTCATGCTATTTAAAGCAACAGCATTGAACTCACAGGAAAAAAAAAAAAAAAAAGAAAAAAAAGAAAACTAAACTAAAAAAACCCCAACAAACCCCTCTCTAAAAATTTCCGCTCCATTATTATTACAAGTACAAAATTCTAATATTACTTTAACTGAAACATATTTGGAGGAAAACATTTTTCCATTTGCATACAGGAGTAGTTTGTGTATCTAGTTTCATTCTCCCTCATTTCCTCTTTTGTTTTGTGTGGATTTCCCCCCCCCCCGCGAATTTACAGGGAAGAAAAAAATTGTGCAAAAAAAAATTACATTCTTTTTTGAAAGCATTATTTGTCTTCAGCTAGTCACTACCTATAACATATCAAAACCATCTGTGGCTTAGTCTGTTAACACAGTTTTATTGCAATGTTTTAACGACCTCACTTTAACTTGGTTTGAGAGAGAGAGGAGAAAAGAAAATCCCAACAGTACAGCAGTAGATGTTATTTGCAGTACTCTTTCTGTCCCTGTCTCTGGTGCACATCAGTTGTCACAAAAAGATCTACCAAGAGCAGACACAACAGCTACCAAACCAAGACCAAACAGTAGCAGCAGCAGTGATACTGTCTCTTTACTTAAAAAGTATTAATGCACTTGATCATATTCTACATTCAACTTAAATTCACAATAGCAAGTGCATCTGCTGCTACATCACACTTAAAGCCTTATCTTCATCTAGGATATTACAGCCTCTGGGGCTTCCTCACTGGTTCAAGAGCTCTGTAACTCTTGACAACATGAAGAAGTTCACGCAAAACAAAAAGCTCACTTGCAGAGTCCCACCTGCCAGTGAGAAGTCAAACAGGACTGCAGTGGTCTGGTGAAGATATCCACATCAGCTCAACTGCTTGAGAAGCAGAGACTAAAAACCAAGTTGCCTTTGTAGGAGTAATTAATGCTGACTCCTCAGCTGGATGTCTTTTTTCATTTACACTATACAGGTAGGTAAGGTAAACCATCCATGCAAGGTAAGGTAAACAGCACAATTGTCAGCAAATCACTGAGAAGTAGTTTAATACTGCTACTTGGCAGGTATTTGATAGGAGGCAGTTCATTAACAGAAGCTAGAAACAAATTACTTGCCATCTCTGTGCTGACTGCACTTGCAATGGATATAAAAATCCAGCCTAGAAATGACAGATGCCTTTTGCTTGAACCAAGTATTCCCATTGAGTCCAAGATCTACTGTATTTTAGTGTGTTTCCAGTACGTTTGTTTCAAAAAAAAAAATCACTTTCATTCATTTTCTTAGCATGTATTTAAAAAAAAGTTCTGGTTTTTTTTTAAACAGAAGAATTATGTATCAGAGAATGTAAAATATGAAAAAGTCATATTAAGCAGGTGAAATTTAAGAGGGAAAAGCAGGAAAAAATAAACTACGGAATAGCTAATTTGCAATAATTGCTATTTTTAATCCTGAAGCCCCTATGAGCTTCCAATACAATCTATTTAGTCTATGGTAGGAGGGTTATCATGGAAAACAAACTCTGCCATTCTGGATGACAAAAGTGTTCTTGTACTCTATCTTGTCTCCAGAAGTGGAGAATAATATACATTACAAAATAATGCACAAAAGAAACAAAGAAAACTGAGAAAGAGACTTTTATTCCTTAATATTTACAGGTTAATTATGCATTAAGAAAGTTATGAGTTTCTCTTCAACAAATTAGAAAAATACACCTAATTTAACTCAGGACACTTGAAAAAGCCTTTTGAACAGATCTCTTTTTAACTGTAACCGAGAATTACACCAGACAATCTATAAAGAAGTTTCAGTAAGTTCTGAAGATGCAAAATTGCTCTTTCCCCCCTGTGTGTTTTACAGTGAGGAACATTCCTACCACTGTATCTACGCTACTCATAATTTTCTTTTTCAGACAAGCAAGACTTCCCACACTTCAACAGTAGCTTTCACCACACATCTATACCAGCTCTTAACGTTCACAGACAAGGTGTCAAAGTCTGGTAGTAACATCCCACTGGTTTAACGTGCCTCTCATGCACCTCATTCACCCCCATACTTGCTTTTCCAGCTACCACTATGGCTCCAGAGACTTTTGTTGGTGTGTCCCTCTAACCAGGGCTACAACCAACCATGAAGAACATTGGTTCCACCAGTTCTGTTACTCCTGATAAATACAATCAAACAATGTCACCTCACTGCACCGCCTTTTAAAGGGTTACAAAATTATGCAATGGTATTTCAGATTAAAAAAGAAATACATTCTTAACAGGAAAGTCACTTTACAAAATACTAGCCTTGCCAAATTCTCTTCGCATTAGCATAACGATTTCTTATATAGAGAAGAGTAATACTAATGTACGATTTGTACTCATCTCTACTACAGCTGCTAGGGGCATGAAAGCAGCTTTTCAATTTTAAGTTTGTGCTCTGTTAAAAAACAACAACAAAAACAAACAAGAAAACAACTTAAGTCTTAACCGTTTGTAGTAATTAAAAGCATTCATACAGTTGAGGAATGGGGTGAATTCAGGTTACCACAAGTATCTACGTGGCCCACTTGATTCAGTCAGACTCTAGAATTTTTAAATTCACCCCTCAAAACATTAAAGTTGGTATTGCAAAAGTAGATGCAGAGAAACCTAATTTAGACAATGGTTTTCTTTCATGAACCAGCCAATACAATTTCTAAAAAGTGGGCCCTCCCTATTCCTATTAATCCAATTGCCCTCGCTTAGGCAAAGAAATGGGAAACGTTTTCAGAAGACATTAGCTATTTGAAGCATCACTTTGCAACCAGCAGAGACAAGGCTCAGAATCTTTAAAACTTGCTGAAAGATGACCCTATGTTCTCCAGCACCTTACGCCACAAACAACTACCATTAACCTAAACTTACTCATCTGTGCCAGGACACTTTGCTAAGTAAAAAATACTAAGCTTTTCAATCTAAAGCATCAATTTTACCCAACCCAACAAAAAAGCCAAAAGATAATTTAAAAACAAAACAAAACCAAAAAACACCCCACGTACAGAGTTTTCTGCTGAGTCTTCCCAAATATCATATTCTAAGCCTGACCTCTAAGCTAACC